TTTTGTGCTTATATTCTTGGGTCTTTCTGTAAAGTCACGTAGATAGGTTCAAATAAGATAATAAAAAAAATAACAGAAAACTACGACGTTTCGATCGCAACGCAAGCAGTCGTCTTCCTGAAGACTTCCTGAAGACGGAGGTGCAGGGGAAAGTCAAGTAGATCATTTTATTTGAACATATCTCCATGACTTTACCGAAAGAGCCAAGAATATGAATTCCTGCAGTCACGAAAGCTTTAAGTCAAGATTTTTGTGTTTAGTTTATCGTTATTCCCCTGCACCTCCGATTTGCATGGTTGGCTACGTACTGTGCGAAAGAAGTTCAACATACTTACATACATACAGAAAGAACCGGCGACCTCTTGATTGCAAGTCTAGTGTTCGCTATTCTACCATGGCAACATCTTTGGCAAAAATAACTGGATATAGAATGGCACAAAAAATACCATTGCAATCATTACCTCCACAACGGTCTCACTGCATACTCCAGGAGGAACCGACTGTCCACGTCACCCATGTGTACCATGGTACGCTCCAAATTAATAATAACACCGGCAACCACAGTCACACCAGGGGGGGGGGGGAGGTAGCTGTTCAGTGTGTGTGGCACTGATCCATTTATTTGCAGGGGTGGCGGAGAAGTTACAAACATATCCGCAGCACCTCCGATTAGCACTATTGGCTACGTACGGTGCGAAAGAAGTTCAACATACACACATATCCGGCCTAGCGTGCCGAAACTGCAGGCAGTGTGGCTAAGCCATGACAAATCAGGCTCTGAGCCATCATAACTTCGTGACTCAGCTTCATCCTATAGCTAAGAGCACCGACTCTCAAGGACGTCGAAAGGGGGCAATGCACACTTGTCCCCGGCCGTGGTGGTTCGAATAATATTAGACCGTACGGGAGAAAAAGTATCGCTTGATGTGCTTTCGTTGCGATGCGTAAGTTTACTCTCCACGTGCTGGGAGCTTCTGAAGTTCTTCGGCTCCTGACGAAAGTTCCGGTATGAAACGTCGGACATCGTGCCAAAGCAACGTGCGGTACAACCGGTGAAACAATTGGGAGAACCGTACACCGCAACCGGGAAAACCTTACGCAGTCCGCGTGCATTTCTCCGGACGATGGGTTCCTGAAACAGTTTACAGAGAGTGCCTACAATGGTGATGTCTTGTGTTAGATGTTTATAATAGAATTTGCAAAGAGCGCATGTGTAAAAGTTGGGGTACTTTGGAAAAAGCTTTACTTGTAAAGGTTTCCAATAACAAACAAAACACCCTGGCAGGTTAGACTGGTGCCACCATTCCAACTTGCTGTGGATATATATTAAAAAAAAAAACATTTATTGGGAGATTATGAGACGAATTAAAGCAATACTTTGTTTTCATTAATTTTTTTACACCTCAGCTAAAAAAGTTTAAAATCGTGTGTGTACTCCGTGTGTACTCCGTGTGTACTCCGCGTGTACTCCGTGTGTACTCTGTGTGTTCTCTGTACGCCGTGTGTACGCCATGCGTACGCCGTGTGTACTCTGTACTCCGTGTGCACGCCGTGTGTACTCCGTGTGTACTCTGTGTGTACTCCGCGTGTACTCTGTGTTACTCCGTGTGTACCCCGTGTGTACTCTGTGTGTACTCCGTGTGTACTCTGTGTGTACTCCGTGCTTACTCCGTGTGTACGGCGTGTGTATGCCGTGTGTACGGTGTGTGTACTCTGTACTCTGTGTGTACTCCGTGTGTACTCTGTACTCTGTGTGTACTCTGTGTGTACTCCGTGTGTACTCTGTACTCCGTGTGTACTCCGTGTGTACTCTGTGTGTACGCCGTGTGTACTCTGTACTCTGTGTGTACTCCGTGTGTACTCTGTGTGTACGCCGTGTGTACGGTGTGTGTACTCCGTGTGTACTCTGTGTGTACTCCGTGTGTACTCTATGTGTACGCCGTGTGTACTCTGTGTGTACGGTGTGTGTACTCTGTGTGTACTCTATGTGTACTCTGTGTGTACGCCGTGTGTACGGTGTGTGTACTCCGTGTGTACTCTGTGTGTACTCCGTGTGTACTCTATGTGTACGCCGTGTGTACTCTGTGTGTACTCCGTGTGTACTCTATGTGTACGCCGTGTGTACTCTGTGTGTACGCCGTGTGTACTCTGTGTGTACGGTGTGTGTACTCTGTGTGTACTCTGTGTGTACTCTGTGTGTACGCCGTGTGTACTCTGTGTGTACGCCGTGTGTACTCTGTGTGTACTCTGTGTGTACGCCGTGCGCGCGATTTACACAACGAGAGAAAAGAATCCGACAATGGCCACTGTCGTTACTGTTGCCCGAGTCGCATTTCTTCAATGCGACAGCCCCAAAGTTTCCCACAAATGCGGCCGCTTAAACGCGCTTCCGAGCTGCCGCCAAAGATGGCCCCGTTGAAACGCCTCTGAGAAATGTTGTTGCCGCAAAAAAACAAAATACACAATTTATGAAAACAAAGTGAAAACAACATGTATAAGTGGGGGGGGGGGGAGCAAACTGCTCCATGCTCGGTGTAAATTACAGACGAGAAAGTTTGATTGGGATGGTGGCGGCGGTTGGCGGCGCGTTATAATCCCAGCGCTGCGGCTGCTGACGCCACGCTGGGCACGGGTCTGCGTTACCTTTTAAATGGGAAATTACATTTTCAGAGTGCAAGTCAAGGACACGTGAATAGACGGTCTGGATATTTGGGGGGGAGGGGAGGGAGGAGGCAGGTAAAGATCTGGGCTTCCAACCTTGGCACATACCCCCCACCCCCCCCCATCGCTCTGGGTGTGGAATTACAGTATTTACTTTTCATCTACTGCTGAAAATGAGCCTCGGGGTAGGAAGGCTCGTGACACTGATGTTGTTAGGAGGTCAGCACGGAGGATAAAGGTGTGGTGCAAAAGCGACGGTGGTGTTGTGGTGTGGTGGTGTGTGAGATATGGGGAGGGGGGGGGGGGGTGGTGAGCGTTAGTCTCGTGGTTAGCGCTCTGAGCTGCAAGCCCGGCGACCCGGGTTCGATTCCCGGTCATTGTCGACCCCAGTGACGATTATCTGAACCGTTCCTGGACTCTCCCCTAAAATCGACTCAGCCTCAAAATGAGTGTCGAGCACGGTGTGTAAACGTCGCCACTGGGGGAGACAAAGGCGGTCGGGCGTGGTGCTGGCCACCCACCCTTTCGTGTGCCGTGCCGGCCTTCATAGGCGCTGATCGCTAACAGCACTTAGCCCCGACAGCCTGTTAAGGCTATACGGGGGATCTTTGTCTTTGGTAGGTGGGGGGGTGTCACCATTGGAGGAGGAGGGCAGTACAGCCAAGTGTGATGTGGGCTGCGAGAAGTGGGGCAGTGCTGTGGAGAGTGAGGTTCGCGAACTAAATGGCGATCTGGCTCGGTGTTTCTCAAGCACAGGGGGTTGCCACCATTCCTACTTTTCCCAGGATTGTCTTATACTTAAGGTAGCCACTGCTGTCTTGGAAAACCTGTAAGTCTTCCCAGGACATTGAAAGTCCCGGTTATTGCAAACTGCTTAAAAACCATAATAATACACCGCTCAAAACAATGCGTTCACATGTCGTGTATCCCCCAAAGCTCACGGTGATTTGCGAGAAATGATTTTTCTTCCCGTGATTCACCCCAGTTTTTGTTTCATTGCACAGCAGAGGTGGCAACCCTACCCAAACACCAGTCGTCCATCTTCAAGATCGCCAACAGTCCTTTGCGTGCGATGTGCGGCTGCCTCATTTGCATTTGAATTGGGAAAATATCTGCGATGCTGGGAAGCCGTGCCAGGAAGGCGGTGGGGGCCTGGCAGGGTGAGGCCTGGGGTTTTTTTGGGAATCACTGCTGGAGCCCATGGTGAGTGGCACACAGAGGTTAGGTGGACGAAGTGAGGGTGATGCGATAGAGGAGGACAGCCGAGTTGGCGGAGAGTATCGTTTAGAGCGACGATTTAAAATATCGCGCTTTTGTTAATCCTCTGCTGGATGAGGGCCTCCCCACAGGATGCTGGCCACGGGTGTTGTTTGACCACACTTCACCAAGCTGGTTAATGTGGGCCGGTGAAGTTGTGGAGGCTCAAGACTGGTTAATATTTTGCTCAACAGTCGATGAACTCCGGTCGCCAGGTTCATCGTGCAGTACCCATAACAACCGCGCCACAAACGACACCCCTTCGCCACTTTAGATCCCCTTAACTCCCAAAATCACACTTGTTTACCAGTCAAAGGATGTAACACTCTTCACGTCCCCATAATCAGCCATCATCCATCCATGGCTCAATAAAAGGTATCCTGTCGACAGAGCAAAAGCCAAACCCGGTGGCACACCTCTGCTAGAAATTGTAAACAACCAATTCTTACACGGGCGATAAGCGTAACAATTGACTTTAAATCGACGATCCGATGCGTCGCTTTGTCCCCATAAATTGCCGCCAGCACAACATCAAACGAGCAGGGGTCACAGGTGTGCGTTTTCCCTGACCTCTTTTTCAGAAGCGACCTGGCTACAAATGATAGCTCAACAAAGTGGTTAGTCAAGTGGAAATGTATCGCAGCCAAATACTCGACGTGGCACGTTGATTCTAAATGCGGAGGGAAAACCGGAGGACCCGGATAAAATTCCACGCGTCAGGCTCGGAATCGAACCTACAACCTCCTGTATACCAGGCGAGGTAGTTAACATCTCGCCACCATGGCCCCCCAGTGTATGGAGAGAAGATCAGCGGAGTAAAATCACCGACCGGGATTTTAACCCGCGACCTTACAAGAAGCTCAGGGGGGGGGGGGGGGGGCTACCGGTTTCGACCCAACTTCACGCCCAAGAAGAGACATCACCACGGGCGCAGGACGAGGCGCGGCGGCGAACCCTCCGACCTCCTGCAAACCGGGCGAGGCGGTTAACATCTCGCCACCGTGGCGCTTGCCCCCCGCCCCCCCCCCCCCCAGGCTCCTTGCGGCGAGCGAAACCGACGCGCGGCGCGCGGGGGACCTCACCTCGATGAGGAAGTCTCCGACTTTCAGCCCAGCCCTGCTGGCCACGCCGTCCTCGTCCACGGACTCGAGGTACTGCAGGGCTGGGAACGCGGCCGAAGGGGTGAACTCCTGCACGGGGACGTTCGCTGTGGAGGCGGGACGGGAGCGTCGGGCGCCGGAAATGAAGGGCCAAAACAACAACAACAACGTAAAACGTCTTCAAACAGATTCGGAATCGTTATTTACACCGGAGGAATCCGACGAGCTGTGATAAAGTTATTTTTCACAGATGTCCAGTAGGTGCGAGTCAGAAAGTTACAATAACAAACAAGACGAAAACACGATAGGCGTGCAAAGTATAGGAAAGGTAAGCAAAACCACGAATATATATCTATTTTAATTCTACCAGGTAAAGTCCACTGAGCTATCAGCTTCTTTTTCAGAAGCGACCAGGCCACAAATGATAGCTCAACGAGGTGGCTCATCACGTGGACATTTAGAGCAGCAGCCAAGTAATCTAAATAACCTAAAACGAGGCAGGGGGGAAAAAAATCAAACGACGCCACCAGCGAAGTTCCGGCGGTGGCCAAGGACACCGCGGCAATCCTGAACGTTTCCGCTGCGATGTTTTTCGACATGCCAGAGAGCATCAGCGAGCGAGCAGGAGGCTGGAGGCTCACCACAAATAAAACACACGAGGTCCCTGTCATTTTGAAGGTCATCGGCGCCGTTTATTTAGGAGCACCGTCTTAAAGTCTGAGTGCATGTTCTCTTCTCCGAATCCGCAGCACGTCGAGGAGGAGGAGGAGGAGGAGGAGGAGACACGATCACCACCGGTCTCGTATGTAGGTCACCGGTGAGCAGCGCCATATTATGCTCCGCAGCAGCAAGTTTCCCCCCACTTTGGGTTTTTCCATGAGCTTCACATGAAGGTAAAGGAAAAAAATAAAAGCTAAATAGAGGGCAACGCTGCGTCTACAGCTAGCTGGGGACTGAGGTATTGGCGGATAAGCGAAAAGGTCAGATATGCGGACGTCGATTATATCTAGGGAAAATGACCGCGATATGCACATGAGTGTGCACGAGGTTCAGAGCACATTACCGTACTGCACGTATGAAAGGTCGTACAGTATTTGTGAAAACGTAGAGAAAATGACAATTAAACCACGCACACACACACTGCACTGGGTGTGTGTGACAGTCGAATACGCGACGTTTGTACCACATGCCAATTTACGCAAAATTAAACTTACATCCTTGCAAGCCGCTTATTTCCCCATCACCCCCCCCCCATCCTCGTGACGACTTCCATAAACGAACACCCTCTACACGAATTCGTTTGACGCGAGGAAATTAGCTTGCACCCATTCATGTAATAATCCTGCAGCCGCATTTAGCAACATTACCGCCAGCACCAACAGTAGCAGTAATAGAAGTCCCAGAGGTTTGTGGATGAGTCAATTGCAATGGCTGAGACAGCAGCCATAAGCCTTGCAACAAAATAATCAATTCACAAAATCCTTGCTGCAGCTGCAGCTGCTGCTGCTGCGGTGGTGGTGGCGGCAGTGGCGGCGGACGTCCAACGTTTTGTGCGTTTGTGATGTGGAGCTCAATGCTGGTCCGTGCGTGTGGATCACAAGAGGCAGCTTGCTGGCAGGGGGCAAGTGGGTTTGTGGGTGGGGGGGGGGAGGGTTTCTGTGTTCTGTGCAATGAAGCTCTTGGTTTGGACACTCGCCCTCCCAGTGGTGGTGCTCGCCCCGAGCATGAATTATACAGGGGTGGCCCAAAAGTCAGGACACATTTGGGCTATTCTATTTATTTGAACAAAGCACATTTGGTTATTTCATTTGCATCAACAAATGTTCAAAACCCGATTCCCATGCACCACGGTGAATGCATGAAGCACGGTATTCCCTTCTGAAATACATTCTACGACTGTGTATTGTTTTTTAAGTCCATGGGTGCAGTCGTTGAGCGTGCATCAATTATGTTTCATCTCAATCCGTCCAGGGCTCTTGGTCGAGTTTTGTAAACGACGGATTCGAGGTGGCCTCACAGACCCAAGAAGAATAAATATAAATCATTATAGATGCAATACAAACTTCAAGAACACGCAATTACATCCTGTAATGTTAGTGTTAAATAAATGAAAATAAATTAATGACACGTCATGGCTTTTTTGGCCACACTGTATTTGGGGGCCCTCTTTTAAATGTATGACGGAAGAGATGTGGAAGAGTAAAGGTGCAGGCCTGCAATAGCCTGCTCTCACCACTGCTGGTGGAGGGTCCCCCACTATATCTATGTGCACACAAACCCCTCCAGTGGGTGTTTCTGGCCTACTCTTCCACACTGGTCAGACGTCCTGTATGCGTGTACAGTATGTTGAACTTCTTTCACACCGTACGTAGCCAACCGTGCTCATCGGAGGTGCGGCGTGTAGGAGCGATAGCGACAATATATATAAAGACGAAGGTAAGATTAGCGGAATTCAGACAACAATAGAGATGCACTGAGAGGATACAGGAGATGAGATGAATTGTATTCGTTACATTTTGATTTAAAGCTTTCGTGACTGCAGTAATTCATATTCTTAGTTTTTTCGGTAAAGTCACGTTGAAGAGAAACAACAAAATAACAAAATATATATAAAACAATAAAAAATTCTCACGACGTTTCGACCATAACTCAAACGGTCATCATCAGGTGTGTCGGTTTGCATAAATTTATTTTGATTTATGCAAACCGACACACCTGATGATGACCGTTTGAGTTATGGTCGAAACGTCGTGAGAATTTTTTATTGTTTTATATATATTTTGTTATTTTGTTGTTTCTCTTCAACGTGACTTTACCGAAAAAACTAAGAATATGTATTCGTTACGTTAATTAGTGTGCTTATGTTAGTGATGATTTTAATACTTGACCCCTTGCACCACTTGGGGCATTCAACTTCTGCTGCTTAAGAGTTTGCTTGTGCCCCACACCACCATCGCCCCCCCCCCCCGCCACCACCATCACTTTTTTATTCAAAAAAATATGTAAAAAATACAATAAAATATAATCACGCGGATGTGCAATAATGAAGGTTGGGGGGTGGTGAAATTAACACACACCTCCGCTGTGCAGGCAATAAAGCTCACTTGTCTGCGATGTGAAGGCATGAGTAAGTGAGTGGTGAGCACACACACACCATTCCTCATCAGCTGTAATTGGCTCTTTTTAGGATGGGTGCTAAAACCCAGCCAGCAGACCTGTATCTCAGAGACTAGCGGGGTCGTAAGCCTCGAGGCTTAGCCAACATCGGGCTACGACTGAAACTTGATGATACTGATATACATAAGGATTACACGGTTGCTTAGGTGGGGGGGGGGGGGGGGGGGGGGGGATGTGTATGGATGTGTATGGGCAGAGGTTATGTTGCATAATATTTGAAGCATACATGCTGTATATAGATATGTATAATATGGCAGGGAGGGGGGGGGGGGGGGGATTGGTGGTGCAGTGGTCAGCGCACTGCGCTATGAACCCAGCAACCAAAGTTCGATTCCTGGCTGTGGCCGACGTCAGTACTGAGTGTTATCGGAACCAGTTCTGGCGATAGCCCAAATCTCACCCTCCCCACCACCACCCACCCACCCACTCAATCACCCACGCACCCCCTTCTATCCAGAAGTGGAGCGACAATGGGCTAACCCGTTGTTGTACGCGAGATCGCGTTCGTCATTGCGCAACGAGCATCGTCCGTGCCTGCCGACGTCGATGCAGACGAAATAATTATAACAACAGTACAATAAGTCACTCCCCAACGTCTCGTGGTCTTGCGAATTTAAATAAATCCGTCAATCGAATTATACACGAGGCACGACGTCAAATAAAAATGTCTGATTTTACATCGGCGTTGTCTGTTTCGGATTTCTCCCCCCCCCCCCCCCCCCCACCACCGCCGCCTTGTCTTTTCAACCTTCCAGGACACAAGCACGTTTAAAATATTTACGTCAAGGTTATACATTTTCATTCAAGCCACATGGCAACGTGATTTTACTCGCGCACGGCATTTGGTTTGAATAGGCATTTTGCGCACCAGGGTCACCCAGCTTCCGTTGAGTCAAAGCGCAAAATGTTGTAGGCTCGCTGCAACGATTTCCAGCCACTAAACCTCGCCATTATATTCCGAGGCAAAGCGGCAAATCATTGCCATCATGCCCCATGCAAGGGAATGGCAGACGCCGCACGGAACAAATTGCCGTCAATAAAACGGAGGGGTGATGGCTGGCTGGCTACCGGCAACGCATGCTTACGCTGAACAAGATACAAATGCAGCCGATGTACCATCGATTGAAGCGAACAATTGTTTAGGGCAAGCATTCGACGGTGAACCAACCCTACAGCACATTGATATGCGGCGGCGAATGTTTTGCCATTGCCGTAATTTCCTGCTCCCTTGACGGAGGCTTAACTTGGGCGATAGACGGGGGTCTCACAAACAGGTTTCTCTCCCACTAACCACCCCACCCGTAGCCCCGACCCCGCACCCACTGCCCCCCGTACGACACCGCGATGTCTAAGGGCACGGCGGGGGGGGGGGGGGGGGGGGCGGGTTCATGGATCATCGCTGCTGACCGTGACCCCCCCCCCCACTCCCCTCCTTCTCCAGGATTCACCAAAATCAGCGGCGGTTACCTTTCGCTCCTCGCAGGACGAAGCCGAAGCCATCGTTGTCCTTCTTGTGCAGAACGACGGTCCGCTCCGGGAAGGGGCACTGGCTGCTGCAAGAGAGAGACTGCTGATGCGAGCTGGTCATGGCACTCCAATAGGGCCCCCCCCTTTACACATCCAGCCCTCGCTCGCTCGCTCGCACGCCGGCCGGTCGGCCGGCTGTATTAGCAGCGCGCGTGCTGTGACGCGGTGGAACGACGCGTCCTGTCGCTACCGCCGCCGCCGCCGCCGCCGCCGCCACCGCCGCCACTGCGCGTCGGCTTCGGCGGGGGGTGGGTGGGTGGCGTGGGTGGGGTGGGGGGCGGCACCTCCAGCCCCCTTCAGCGAGACGCCGGCGTGTGACCGTCGAGCCGGTGACCGAGCCCAGCCGGGAGGCCCCCCACAAAGAGCAGCGGCCACGCTTCGACGCCGACGCGAGCCGGCTGCCCGGCCCCTTCGATGCAGCGCACGCTCAGCGAGCCTCGCACGAGCCGGCGCACCGGGCCGCTGCAGCGGTGGTGCCGCTCAAATGACATTGTGTTTGCACGCTGCCCCCCCACTCCTCCTCTCCTCTCCAACGCCCGTCCCTGGCTCCGCCGCTCTCTCTCTCTCAGTCTCTCTCTCGCTCTCAACGCTCTTCCTTTTTCTCCCTTCCTCGTTCCCCGCTCTCACTACGGCGACGACGACGACGCGGCAGCACCAGCAGCAGCAGCTGCTGCGGTGGCGCAAATAACAAAGCGGGAGGATGCTCGCCGCCGCTGCCCCCGCCGCCGCCACCGCCGCCCGCCAGCAGCGCCGATCGGCATCACGGTGTCGACGACGGACGCTTGGAGCGAGCGAGGGGGGTGGGGGAACGAGCGAGCGAAAGGACGCGGAGCTTGGCGTTACATTGTGCAGCGTGACCAAGGAAGCTCGCCGCTACAGCTAAAGCCTGGCTCTGATGAAGGCTGCAGGCAGCAAAAAGCAGAGTGGGGTGGGGGGGAGTGGTGGGAGAGTGAGGGAGAGGGAGACAGCAAATGTGAGTGAGAAAGCAAAGACTGGGAGCAAGGAGGGAAGTGGGGGGGGGGGGGACAGCGAGGGGGTAAGGATGGGTTGCGGTGGGATGCTGGATGGGGGTGCGAGCATTTGAGAAGGAGCGGGGGTGGCGGGGGAGGGGCGGATGGAGGTTGCCAGGGAGAGGTTGGAAGCGAGCAAAAGATGTCACCGTGCAACTGCAGTGCTGGCACGCGGAGGGGGTACGGAGCCTGTCGTACATAGGTGGACACAGGGCACTGCAGCGAATTAACTGCTAGCGCTTACGCACCGCGCCGCTTGGCTGCGCCGCGGCTGCATGGGACAAATGTTTCAATCGCGGGATTATCTTTTTTTGTGTTAAGACGGGCAGCTGGAAAGCAATTTCAAAATTATCCGGCAACTAAACTTTTGTGGTGAACCCAACCCTCGGAGGAGAGAGGCTGCTTACTCGCGGATTCTCACTTGTCACCTGGTTAGGTCAATGGTCAATTGCGAGTTGCGTTTTTCTCCTAAATGTGTCCATGCACAACGAAGTATGAAAGCAATCCTTGCTTAAACAATTCAGCTACTCACAAATGTCTTAAAATTCTTACACTAAATATCAACGAAAATTGAGGCCTCTCATAGCACCATTGTCAGCGAGCAATATGCCGGATCATGTCCATCTGGAGGCCCGAGCCCTCTCTATGCTTATGCTTTTTTCTCCGACAAAAGATAAAATCTATGTTGATTTATTTAGTTTGTGCTCCGGTTTGCTTAATTGCTGTGCTTTATTATTTTTCGTTATTTTGCATTTTGCCATGCTTGGTGACCGAGGTCACTCTTGGAAACGAGACGTCTATCCTGGCCTCTTGAATTCTCGCCACGTTTAACAAAATAAACCCGAAATATCTGGGACTATTTCAACGGCACGAAGCCCTGCGTGTCTATTGGACATCTCCATGCATCGGACTGTCTTGCACAACATATTTTGTGGGGGCTGCATGGGGCACGAGGTAGCGGGGTGGTGGGTACAGCGAAGGGAAAGGTGAGGTAAAGGGAGGGGTCCAGGTGAAGGGAGGGGTCCAGGTGAAGGAAGGGGTCCAGGTGAAGGGAGGGGTCCAGGTGAAGGGAGGAGTCCAGGTGAGGTGAGGGGTCCAGGTGAAGGGAGGGGTCCAGGTGAAGGGAGGGGTCCAGGTGAAGGGAGGGGTTCAGGTGAGGTGAGGGGTCCAGGTGAAGGGAGGGGTCCAGGTGAAGGGAGGGGTCCAGGTGAAGGGAGGGGTCCAGGTGAAGGGAGGGGTCCAGGTGAGGTGAGGGGTCCAGGTGAAGGGAGGGGTCCAGGTGAAGGGAGGGGTGCAGGTGAGGTGAGGGGTCCAGGTGAAGGGAGGGGTCCAGGTGAAGGGAGGGGTCCAGGTGAAGGGAGGGGTCCAGGTGAGGTGAGGGGTCCAGGTGAAGGGAGGGGTCCAGGTGAATGGAGGGGTCCAGGTGAGGTGAGGGGTCCAGGTGAAGGGAGGGGTGCAGGTGAGGTGAGGGGTCCAGGTGAAGGGAGGGGTCCAGGTGAAGGGAGGGGTCCAGGTGAAGGGAGGGGTCCAGGTGAAGGGAGGGGTCCAGGTGAAGGGAGGGGTCCAGGTGAAGGGAGGGGTCCAGGTGAAGGGAGGGGTCCAGGTGAAGGGGGGGGTCCAGGTGAAGGGAGGGGTCCAGGTGAAGGGAGGGGTCCAGGTGAAGGGAGGGGTCCAGGTGAGGTGAGGGGTCCAGGTGAAGGGAGGGGTCCAGGTGAAGGGAGGGGTGCAGGTGAGGTGAGGGGTCCAGGTGAAGGGAGGGGTCCAGGTGAAGGGAGGGGTCCAGGTGAAGGGAGGGGTCCAGGTGAGGTGAGGGGTCCAGGTGAAGGGAGGGGTCCAGGTGAAGGGAGGGGTGCAGGTGAGGTGAGGGGTCCAGGTGAAGGGAGGGGTCCAGGTGAAGGGAGGGGTCCAGGTGAAGGGAGGGGTCCAGGTGAAGGGAGGGGTCCAGGTGAAGGGAGGGGTCCAGGTGAAGGGAGGGGTCCAGGTGAAGGGGGGGGTCCAGGTGAAGGGAGGAGTCCAGGTGGATATGGGGGAGGTGGGGGGGGGGAACAACACAAAAAGGTGAACTGGTTAAAAATTTTGTACAGGCAACACCAAAGTTGGCCAATGATTGAGAACGTACAGACACACGGTAAAAATAACAATGCTATTTTGACCATACCTGCAATTCTGTGAATTACAAGCAGTGGCAATGGTTTAAAGATAACTAAACAAACGCGATTGCGAGCTGATTTGATGACGATTGTTGAAATGGTCGACGAAGGAATGCTCAGACAATGATGGCGAGAATTTGTCGCTCTCGCCTTCTTGCATCAAGCCAGCCCCCTAAATGTGGGGGGCTCGATGGCAACGTAAATGCCACGGTGATGTAACGATGCGCCATGATGACATCGTTACAATGTCAAAACAAGCAGTTTACATGCTCATGTAAAACCGTGCGCGCCACTAAAGTGTTGTTCCCCGGCTGCGTGACAGCAAAACAAAAAACACAAGCTGTTAACCCGAAGGTTACGCACAAACCACCCCTGGATGTGCCCGATCCCGTCGTAGCTAAGCAAGGTTCGGCCTAGTTCGCGCTTGGATGGGGAGACTACTTGGGAATACGACATATATACTAGGGCTCGGGTTTTGAGGTAGGTACGAGAAGGCAGCACAGCAGTGGATTGTTGAACAGATCTGGGTGATGCTTTCATACTCTTTGGTTCTTTCGGTAAAGTCACGTAGATGGAAATTTAAAAGAAATGCTGTCATGTTGCTCGCTGACATGTACATGGGCTTTCTCTGGCCACTCATGAACATTGAATTAGCCAGAGCGTAACCATCGCAGGACCCCTCATGAAAAAAAAATGTCTCGACCTAGCAGAGAAGCTTTCCTGGATAAATAAAGGGCATTATCGTAATCCGAGCAAGAGCGTGTCGACATTCTCAAGCCTAGTGAGTTGATGGTCTCAGCCAGGTTACCAGCAGTTGCACAAGAATCCCATGTTCAATTTCGTTCCCCCTCTAATTTGGCGAAATTCCATGTCTGAGATAAAAAAAATGGCTGCCAAGGTGACGAAGCACATTCTCGCATGCGGAGCGAGCGGGAAGGGCTGGCCTGTTACTCTGCCTGTGGACCAGGCGGGTCGCTTGAAGCAGGGAACTCAGGGGTAGCTCTGCGAGATCCGCTTCTCGGGGGCCGCTCTCCAACACGAAAAGCTGCGCTGCCCTGCGATTGGGCACTCTGTCTCGTGACGAGCGACGCCAATTGCACAATCGAGGTGCAATTGAGAAAAAAAAACGACGAGAACTAGAGGGAACAACAAAAATACAACGAGCGTGTCGACCAGGGGAGGCTGGAGATTGACAAAATGTCATCGTGGAAGCGGCCCTGGTAGCCACGTGCCGAACAGCAACGCCGGGCACTTGCTATGCTACGATAACCATTGAATCATCGCCGTTGCTTTATCTCCCCTGACTGTAAGTCTTCTTTATGGCGCGTCCTGCAGAGGTTGTTAGTTTTTATTTACTTTTTTTTCATTTCTCTAGCCGCTTTATGCACCTCTCGCTCACCATCCGTGTCAGCGCCTCGCCCCCCCCCCCCCCCCCCCCCCCCCCCCCGTGCTGTTGCTGACAGCCTGTCCCAACAGGCTCCCTCGTCAGCTACATTGAAATTAATCACCGATTTTATTATTCTGTTCTCATTATTTTGCCTCTTTCCAAATGTTATTACAATCGTGCTATTGGTGATATGTAGCCGGATTGAGTGACCATCTGGGTCTCTCACAGAGCAGTGTGTATCGCCCCACGGTTAGAAAATGGCCCACAGAAAGGGTTATCAGTGAACTACTCCTGACCTTTTTAAAATTAACTCCTTAGGGAGTGCGTGCTTTCTCACACATCCTATTGTGGTGAAATGTTTTGTTTGTGTGGTAAACGTTGACATTTTTCAACTCTCTGAGCTCTGGAATTTAGTTAATTTTAGTATAGAGAAAACGAACTGAATATGATCGGCTTTAATTGCAGCTAAATTGTGTTCC